TGAGGGTTCAAAATTTTAACTTGTTCTCACACCACAGATGAGAGACAAAGATGGAGAGTGAGAAAGAGACAAACCAACTACGGGATCCCAGGAACATGAGGAGAAAAAACTCACTTCAGTGGAAAATGCAGACTTTAGACTCTGAAAGGACCTACATTTGAGCAATGCTTGACTCTAGGCAAGGAATTTCATCACTGAGTTTTTGTATTCCTGTATGTCAAAGGGAGATTAGAAAACACATCTTGCAGGGTTGCTATGAGGCTAAGGGATGAGAGCGTCTATCAAGATTAATGTTCAACCTCTCACTCCGTGCCCTGCACATGTAAGATACACGTTAATAGTAGCCATCACACATAAATTCATATTAAAACTACTAATAAGACTGAAGTTTCCTTTGCCACAGAAAATGTCACTCTGAAAACAGACTTTCGATTCCATAAACCTACCATATTTTGAATGTCAAGTGCTCCTCCATCTGACTTTAGTAAATTTGTGCCGTGTTTTAAGGGATCAAAAGCAACAATGGTAGCACATTTATTAACAACATAAAATGTCTCTGACACCTTCCTAAGCTTATCTTGGTCATTAATGTGACCTCAAGTGCAGAAAACACTTAACTCTCATCTATCCCACAAGGCACAATGATCTCGCCTATAAGGCTTCAGGGTCTCACAAATACCACACCTCATACCAGGGTAGACTATCCTGTGAAGATGGTCCAACAGGGCATGTGCAACTAGGAGAAATGACATACTGGCCAGGATTGATCCAGGAAGCCACAGGTAGTTGGATATAGAAGCAAAACAAAGTTGCTTAGCCTCTAAAAGTTTGAATTCTGGCCTTCTGAGTAGTACACAGTTGACTCTTGAACAATGTGAAGCATAGGGGTGCAGACCTCCCCTTGCAGCCAAAATTCTGTATGAAACTTTTGACTCCCCTAAAACTTAACTACTAGTAAATAGCCTACTGTCGACTGGAAGGCTTACTGATGACATACACAGCCGATTGATACATATTGTGACGTTACATGTACTAGATACTATATTCTTACAAAAGTAAGCTAGAGAAAATAAATGTTATCAAGAGAATTATAAGGAAGAGAAAATAAATTTACAGTACTGGATGGAATTTATTTAAAAAAAACAACACACATATAAGTGGATCCACGGAGTTCAAACCCATGTTATTGAAGGGTCAACTGTACTTTCAAAACTAAATCAGGATCATATTGCTCTCTGACTCAAAGAACTCCGTTCACTTTCTCTCTCACTCAGAGTAAAAGTCAAGACCCTCTGGGGCCTCTGAGACCCTACACGAGCTGGTTCTACAGTAGCCCTACTGAAGTCCACTCCATCACCCCCCACCTTACTCCAGAAGTGCTGGCCTCGGGCTGTGGCCTGAACACAAGCACGCTGCCACAAAGATTTTCCTCCATATCATGCTTCAGGGACACCTTCCCTGATCCCTCTAGTTAAAATGCATCTCTCACTCACCCCTAGCATGCTCTTCCCTTCTTCTGCCCTGCCTTCCTTTTCTCCCGAATACAGGCAACTCCAGCTTTTCAAAAGTTCACATTACACCTCTTTGCTTTTACAAAAGACCTACAATAGTATCTGTTTTTGCCAACCAACAGAAATCCAAAGGGGAAGGGGGGGCTGGGTGGCTCAGTCAGTTAAACGGCTGCCTTCAGCTCAGGTCATGATCCCAGGGTCCTGGGATCGAGTCCCGCGTCAGGTTCCCTACTCAGTGGGGAGTCTGCTTCTCCCTCTGTCTCTCCCCCCAATTCGTTCTCTCAATCTCACTCTCATGCTCTCTAAAACAAATAAAATCTTTAAAAAAAAAAAAAAAGAAATCCAAAGAGGATTTCTGTTTTTACAAAAAAGGTGAAAAGTGAAAATGCCATTCAGCGTTTGCTTTGCAGTGAGCCCTTATAAAGGCCATGTGCACCAAGGAGCCGCAGCGAGAGTGGTCCCGCCAAGCTCCTTCCAGGGAACCACACTCAGCTTCTCAAGCATCAAGCCCCCGCAGCTTTGAATTTTGTCTGTGAGCATCTGTGCTTTATCTTGATTTATTTTGTGCATCTATTGGCAAGATGTGTCCTAAGATACCCAAAAATGCTAAGAGAGGTTATTTCTGCTCAAATATTTTCCCATATAAATTAATGGTAAATGCCTCTTTGCTTTATACCATTTCAGCTTACCAAAGTTTTCATAGGAGTGCTCTACTTTCAGACAGCAGGAGAAACCCGTACTTATCATCACCTAAGGGATTACAGATTTTAGTCATGTGTCTCATACCTTTCTCTTCCGAGAAGTATGCAAACTTGCAAGGGCAGTGTTTTTTGTCTATTATGCTCATACTGTACCCCCAAGATCCACAAACAAAATAGGCTTGGTATAAAACAGTCAGTAAATATCTGCTAAACTGTGTAAGGAAGTGAACAGGAAAAGGCAGGAAGAGTTCCTAGTTTTTGTGGAATCTATAAAGTGAAAAGAAAAAAAAACCCTCAAGATGTATTTTTAGGTGCACACACACACAAAGAAGGTAGTCTACAAAAGTAAAAACAGGTTATGTTAAAACAGAGAAATTAAATAAAAATAAGTAAGGAAAATAGAGATATTCATTAGCTATCATCATCTAACATTTCAGTGTATCCTTACAGAAATAAAGCAGCTAATAAATAAATAAAAGAAATGGAAGCTGGTAAATCTAATATGCATTAGTATTTGGAGAGCACTATGTCAGCAATTTTTCTACTGTTTAAAGATATCATCTGAGGGGCGCCTGGGTGGCTCAGTCCATTAGGCGGCCCCGGGACTGAACCCCACAGCGGCTCCATGCTCAGTGTGGTCTGCTTGTCCCCCCCTCCCCCTTTGCCCTTCCCCCGCTCACGTGTGCACAGGCTCATGCTGTCTCTCTCAAATAAATAAAATCTCTTTAAAAAGAGATATAATCTGAGTGAAAACAAAAGGAAAGAAAAAGAACACAAAGAAGCTGTGGAACTCAATTTCCTTCTCATAACTTTTGGTCTAAATGCATGGTTGATGAAGCCAGGAGACAATATCTCACATCTTTGACTTTATTTCAGCATTTCCAGAAAATACAGTAATGGAGAAATATATTTCTATTTGATGCCTAAAAGTTTAAATTTAGTATGTAACTCAAATTAATTCTCAATGTTCCACTTTAAGCCTCCACATTAAAAGAACCTGTGCACTTTATTCCTTAATATAACTTGCTGTGGTCTCAGTAAAAACTGGGGCTTGATTTACAGAGTAGATTTTTATTATTAACTTCAAGCTATTTGTGAGCAATAAACTATAGTGACTATAACCAAAAAAATGTAAAGTTGTTCCAAAAGAAAAAGATTAAGGGTATAAAATACTGTAATTACATATTATGCTAATTAAGAGCTGTAGTCTCACAAGCATATGTAAAACTAGTTTAGAATATGGCAGCTATCTATTGAGAGTTAACACTATACTTTTAGGAGATGAATGGTCATGAATAGAAGTCAAATTAGTGACAAACAGCAATGCAGAAAATATATGTTGAAACATTTTCTGCCCTAGGAAGGCGAGACGGCACATCACACTGGCGGGTAATGGCATACCTTCAAGAATTTAGGTTTTCTGTGAATGTTACTTGATAAGAAGGGGGGGAAAAAAAAGGATTTTGCAGATATGATTAAGGGATCTTGAAATGAAGAGATTATCCTGGATTATCCGGGTGAGCTCTAACCGGTACCATTTTTATGAGAGAGAGGCAGAGGGTGACTTGACACAGACAGAAGAGGGAAATCCAGTGTGACCACAGAGGGAGGGACTGAAGTGAGTCTGCCGGAGCCAAGGAATGTCAGCGGCCCCAGAAGCTGCAAGAGACAAGGATCAGACTCTCTCCTGGAGCCTCCGGAGGAAGTGCATCCCTGGCAATGCCTTGATTTCAATCAAGTGATACTGATTTCGGGCTTCTGGCCTCCAGAAGTGTGAGACAATCAATTTTGGTTGTTGTAAGCCCCCAGGTTTGTGGTCGTTTGTTACAGCAGCCACAGGAAACGCATATGGAATTCCAAAGAATCGAATGGCATTACCATCACAAACTCCTTTCCTTTTCACTACTTATTATGGAAACATGTTTTTTTTTTTACACTCATACCTGTAAAAATAAGAAAAGGTGAAAGAAAACTGGTGCCAAATTCTGTCTCACTCTAGTAGCAGGACGAAAATCATTTATACCTTATTTAAAAAAATTGGGGGAGAAACTCTCTACATTTTACAACACAGAGATGCATTTTTTAAAAAATGCATTTTAAAAAATATGTTTTGAAGGGCGCCTGGGTGGCTCAGTTGTTAAGCGTCTGCCTTCAGCTCAGGTCATGGTCCCAAGGTCCTGGGATAGAGCCCTGCATCGGGCTCCCTGCTAAGCAGGGAGCCTGCTTCTCTCTCTCCCACTCCCCCTGCTTGTGTTCCTGCTCTCGCTATCTCTGTCAAATGAATAAATAAAATCTTTAAAAAAAATGTTTTGAAAGAATACTCTTTATGTTTATGACTTTAAAATATAGAGGAGATACTTAATTCTTCAAGAAAATTTTAGGGTACACACACCCGTGAAGAGAACCAGTGTGGATACTTCCCATGTCTGCATGACAACCAATTCAAAAAGTAATTCAAATAACAGCTTGTTTTATTAACTTCTCAAAAAAATGCTGCTTGTGCCACCAAAGATTATTACAAAATTTATCTATCAATTTGGACTCTATGTTTTGGCTCCCAAATTCTCATAGAGCATTATTTAAACAAAGAAGTGTGGGAAATGTGTAATATTTCTACCCTTACTTTCATTTTGTGTTACAATCTTCTCCCAACTAGCAACACCAAATAAAGAAAAGGACTATTCATAATTCTCTTCTATTTTTCTATATCTGAAGAAAATCTTTGCCATATGATGAAACTAAAACAAACAGAAAAGCAAGGATGTGGATTATGGTTCTGTATCCTTACCTAGACCTATGTGAGGCAGATGCTCAAAAAGGGTCCAGCTGTGGTCATCGATGTAATGATTCTTCAGGATCAACAGCTGGCAAACATCTCGGGCAGTTATGTCACTGGGTACCTCTAAAGCCCTGCTGGTTTCATCTTCACTGTACACTTTAATTACCTGTATAGGTAGAAATAAGAAAATGAGCTAACATATCCTATTAAAAATACCATTCTAGTAAGTCATCAAACTTACTGGTTGAGCTGATTACAAAGTCTTTATATGGATTCTTATACATTAAATTTTCTAAAACACTGAATAAATGTTGCCTATCTAAGACTTGTTTATCACCTGTCAAAATCGCTTTGTCCGATAACTTCCACCCTCTTCTCTTCAGTGTCTAGATGAGAGGACATTCAATGACCATTCAACGTCATTGCTCTACCATTCTGGTCTATTAAAAAGCTACATATCTCTTAACAACATGTAAAATGTTCCATTCCATACTTATATCCTGTAAATTATCCAAGTAATATGGTCAATTTATTCCCAGATATATACAGGTAGTAAAAGCAGTAAGTAGAATCAGCCTTTATGAAAAGATTTCTTTATTTCAGGTTATGGAAATTTTGGCAAAGACTGGTTAGATGTATACCAGATTCTTTTTCTTTTTTCCTTTACAATTAGTTGTGTCCATGGGATTGACTTTTAGTCAATGGAATGTAAGCACATTCAATATTGCACTTTCGGGCCTAGTCCATAAAAACCTCCCACGTATTGTTCCCCATTCTCTAATGCCAGCCTCCCATTGAATAGAAATGACAAGGATCCAGAGGGGAGAAAAGCCTTGGGACAGAAGGAGCCTTTGTCCCTTCATGACCACATGAAAGCTGCCCAAATAAGAACACCCATATGGAACTTTGACATGAGCAAGAAATAAACTTTTATTGTGTTTACATACTGTGAATTTGTATTTATCTATTAAGGCAGCTAATGTTACCGTAATTACACAGAATTAGGGAGAATTTCATACACAACACTCCCCTCAACATTTACCAAGTTGTGCTATGTGCTAGAATTTCCACTATTAATCATATAATTATTCCACTAATTATATTAATTAATTATAAGAAGATAAATACCTATGATAATAGTATAATAAAAGCAACATATACGCATAACACAAGTGGGAAATGGTAAGAAAATTCACTATAAGAAATACACTTGTTACAAAAATATAGACATTTCAACATTTTTAGTAATTGAAACAAATGCAAATTAAAATGACGTATTAATTCTATCCTACTAATTTTTTTTAATTACACTTAATAACAGTGTGATGAAATACTTGCTCTTCTCTCTTACAGTGATAGAAGTGATATAAATTGGTAAAACTATTTTGTACACCTATTGGAATGTATTCAAAAGCATTAAATGTCCATTCCTTTGACTCAGTGATTCCACATAGTGTAAATTATCTCAACTCCGTCCTAAATGTGGAAAATGGCTTCAGGCATAGACCTATCCAGCAGGCACTACATATAGTTCTATCAATCTAAATATTCAACAATGAAAGAATGGTAAATGATAGCATTTTCCTAGAATGGAATATTATATGGTGCTTACAAATGTTATTCAAGGAAATGATACAGGAACTTTCAAAAATTCTTAGGTAAAATAAAATCATGACATATAATAAAGTATATTTTGCATGGCACAGGGCAAGTTTCCTTGTGGGACTGGCTACCAGGCACCTACCTATCTTCTAACAATATTCTGATCGCCTTTTAGAGCACACTGCCTCCCTCGCCGTCAGTCTTTCTGATTCTGGCAGCTCTGCCGTCAGCTCAGCCATGGAGAGCTGGAGCTGTGGGGACTGGCTTGGAAGAGCCAGTTGTTAAACATTCGGGAACTGCAAGCCAGGCATCCATCTTGAAATCAGCCACAGTAGGAGCTTGGATACCAGAGAAATTGGTAATCGCTACAAATAGGCCTTTTTAAAAAAGCAACATTATTTTTAGGGCCAGTTTGCCAGTGCACCACTGTCTCAGATCCGATAGTTATTATCCAGACTGGTCAACCAGCACCCAGAACCCCTCTGGTGACAGTAGTTATTTCAGAGAAGGGCACATGACCTAATCAGAACCAGTCAGAAAGGCAGTCTGGATATCTGTTCACATAACCATAAAGTGGACCCTCTTTCCTACTAGACAGATGTAGGATGAAGCTGTTACTGTTCACAAAGAGAAAGACTGTGGGAAAATGAGGTCCACATGGAATGAGCCATGCTAAGAGATGGAAAGAGTCCTGAGAATATCTCTGAGCTCCTGGATCAACTGAATTTGATTTCTTTGTGTTTTTATCATAGATGTGCTCTGAGGCTCTAAGTGTCTAGTGGCCACATCCACCTACTTATCTCTCTTGCTCTAGCCATGGACCCCCTCCAATTCAGTCTTCATACTGCTAGCAGAATAAACTTGCTAATTGCCAATCCAATCAGGTCATTCTGCTACTAAAGTTCTTCAATGGCTCCTCGTTGTCCTAACTCACGCAGCTCATCATGTTTACAGAGACCTCTTACAAGGTACATATCCTTTGCTAAGTGTTTTAAAACAAGGCTGACACAGACAGAGACTGTTGTTTCCTTCAGAGAGCTTAAAGTCTAGTGGGGAAAGCAGTATTTTAAAAAAATAATTATAAACTAGGGCATAAAAATGCAGCATATTACTAATCATAAAATGAGGTTAGGAGAGACCTGGAAGATATCCGTGAAAAAGCGATATTTAAGCCAAGACCTGAAGTAAGAGTGGGCAATAGCTAGGCAAAGGGAAGGTGAACGCACTTCAGGCTAAGGGAACAGAAGTCCCTGGGTGCACTGGTAAAGAAGGAATTTGGCAGGTTCTAAGATTGAGAGGAGTCAGGGAAGGCAGTTGCAGCAAACAGGGAGCCTGGTCCTAAGGAAACTGAAGTGGTAGGTAGGATGGCGGTGATAGGGATGTACGGTCCTAAGTTCAGAACTGACTTAAGAACCATCGAGCTTTTAAGTAGTAAACAAATACATAGACATGGATGCATCTGGCGAGGGAGAAGAGGAAGAACAAAGGAAAAAGAGAATCTAAACTGAACCCTGAGAAATACCAATATTGACTGGTGACTTAGAGGCAAGAAAGTCTGAAAGATCAAGTGAGGTAGAAAGGGAACCAGGAAAATGGGAACCCATGGAATAAAGCCCAAACTCTAGCATGCACACAGCATAGACCCTCTCCAGGAAACCAGCCTGCAGAACAGGACATTCTGTGATCCTAGCCAAATATGACAGGTACTTGCAACCTGTTCTTTCTTAGTTGCATGTGAATTATCCTCTACTTGGAATCAACACTTCAGCCTCCAACAACATGCTTTATTTGGCAAATTCCTACTCATTATTTGGCCCCAGTTTCCATGGCTCTGCCTTGAGAAAGGCTTCCCTGACTACCCAAGGCTTTGTAATTTACAGTGCCCTTTTTCCATGCTCTTATTTTGTAATTTTCTATTTGCATGTCTTTCTCCTCAACTGTACTAATAATAAAGTCCTTCAAGGAAAATCTCTGTTTACTTATCATTTGACATCATATTTCAGGTACCTGGCCCAAGGCAGTGTATGGCTTACTAAAGATCTTTGGAACAAATGAACCCCTGTGTAGGTACCTTTGTACCCCTGTAGTGTCAATCAAAGTGTTTTTGACATAGGAGGGACTCAATACATATTTACAAACTTCAAAAATATTTTGTCACAAAGTATGTGATTAAATTGTTATGCTTGGTAAATTAAAATTATTTTCAATGATCAACAAATAAACAAGTTTTCCTATAAATATAGTTCCAGGTAAGAATGGACTCGGTATCGCTGTTTGTGGGCAGTTCTGAGTTGTGAAGTCACTGAGGTTGCTACATGGAGTCATATGAAGAAGATCATGAAAATACACAGCCAAAATCAGGTGCAATTGTTTGAGCTTTCACTTCAATTCATTCATTTTCTGGTTAACACACGTGGTTCACTAAAATCCCAAGATTTGCTTGGAATTTCAGTGCTTCCCATGATTGCATGCAGGAAGGCTAGTGCTCTTAAGTGTGTGTCTTGAGGATCTGTATCCATGCTAGACAATTGGTGGGATTCTAAGGGATGCTGTCTGCTGTATGTCCATGTGCTGTGGAACACTGACTGGATCAGGCCCTGGTGCACACTCCTGACAAAAGCAATGTGAAGATGACCACTCCTGAGAGGGAAAGAGGATCCGAGCCTGTGGCTGTTCCTTCAGGTGGTACAATGATGAGCCACTGTTTCAATTTCCTCAGAGGCCACTTGGCAAATCCCATGCCAGGAGATGGAGGGGAAATGAGAATGACACAGGGGCCGTTGGGAAGGTTCCCAGTAATTTCTGACTACCCATGTAAACTTCCAGTAAACTCCCATCACCTGGGCTAACAGAAGTATGCCTCTTACTTTTCATGCTCTATCTTTTGTATCAGAGGAATTGAGAAATTAAAAAAACAAACAACAACAACAAAAACAAAACAAGACTGGAGACATTCTGAAGACTAAACCAAATTCAAGAAGTGGACAAGAACTGAACAAGAGGTAAATCTGGGGAAAATGAAAAATGTATCTAACCAATTAGGAAATGCCATTATTTTCTTTAGACTACGTTGTTGCGAATTTGAAAGACACAGGTTTCCAAGAATCAAAACACATACATTTAGAAGGGCTAGGCCAACTCAAATGTTTGTAATAGGTACATGTATTCATTTTAAAATAAATAACACCTGCTCAAAGAAAAGTTTAATATTTTCTTTTGAGCTCCATTTCAAACTCGTATTCTTAAACTCTTATTTAATTCTGACATTTATCCCAAGTACACATTTACCTAAGAATGATAAAATTATATTTTAATTGATATTCCACAGCAGTCAATCCCTGTCATCTCTCAAATCTACTCAATAATTGTGAAAAATTCCTTATTCTACAAAGGGGTGCCTTGTTAAAAAGTCTCATTTTATTACTATTTTTTTCTTTCTTTTTTTTTACTATTTTTTCCTCCTTAAAATCTATGAAAAGGGGAAAGATCATCTAGGCCTTAACTCTCTAGGAGAGTTGAATATGCCTCTTGCCAAAAGTATTACACAAAACCGTCTTATTTAAA